ACCTGATCCAATTCCTTACTGGATTCCTACGAACAAGGAACTACCCTCATCACCCCCCAAGGGGAAGCCAGCAAGCAGAAGAAGGAATGTTAGGGGAGGACCCCAGGCGACAGTAAAGTGCATGTTTACAGCCGCTGCAATCTAAGGTTTCTAAAAGTGCAGATCGTTTCCCTATTACCTCAGACATGGTCGTGAATGGTGGTAGTCCCACCAAAAAAGGGCAAAAAGCCCCGACTTACCCATGCAGGCAGAAGGTCTCCCAGACAGAGGATGTCAGGAACAAGCCCCATCCTTTATAAGGGGTCTGGGATGGACCATAGCCCTGGACCTATAGCACCCTACAGCTAACTGCACAAAGGCCAAGAGAGCACTCGATGCAAGATCCAGTACCCAAAGCAATTATACAGAAAAAAATAGGAAAGCAACAGTGACTATACTGCAGTTGGAGACTTACAAGAAGAAATCTTAACACAAAACTGGAAAATACAGTGTAAGCCTCTCTCAGTAAATTGAAACATATATATCACCTAAGGACACTAGCACAAAACTGAGGCAAGATTAGAATGGGAAGGGTTGAGCAGGGCTGTACTTACAACTTTGCTTTGCCAGTGTCCAAACACCTGAAAGTAGCAAGATACCCAGTAGTGTAAGAAATACCAAGCCTGTGATGTATGATTAAGAAACAATGTTGAGGTTAGGATTTGATACAGGTGTAAACAGCACCATTGTAAAGCAATTCAATGTGAACATCAGAACATTTTAATAGCGGAGAACAAAAATGTTTATGAAAATTTGATAGGTTGCTATAAAGTACTGCACTGCACCATGCTTTCCATTGCACTTCTAAATAAGCCTGCAGATATCTGAAAGCATTGACTGTGCAATGCTAAAGACAAACCCTTGAAAGAGTCATAACACACGCACTCACTTACTACTCCAATCACCCTCTTGCTTTAACCTACTTGCTCTAACTCCTAGCTCAAATCTTTTCTTCTGTACTTTTATCTTTCCCACCCCTCGAAAACATGCAGTGGTCACCCCCACACATAAAAAGTCCTCCCTAGCCCTCACTGGTTTGGGCTTCCATTTACCTTCAAACTTCTTAAACGCCTAGTCTACAGCCATTTGAGCCACTACCTCACTGTTAACATTTTCAACCCCATTTTGGCTTTCACTTGCAACATTCCACAAAAACTGGCCTCCAAAAACTCACAAACTACTTACTAAATGCCACTACTTCAAATGCATATTCGAAGGCCTTTCTACTGCCTTTGACTATTGATCACCTACTTCTGGTTAAAAATAAAACGACGCCCTTGGCCTCTAAGACTCTGCCTTTTCATAGTTATCACCTACCTATCTCAGCATCACCAACATCCTCCTCTCCATTTCCTGTAAGGATCCCTTCAAGGCTTAATCTTCAGGTCCCTCCTATTCTCCAACTACACCTCCTCCTTGGGTCAGATGCAGTGGCGGAACTAGAGCCGATGCAGGGGCACCGGGGCCTGAGGCTGTGGGGGGGCCCCAGTAGGGCCCGGTCCTGGGCACCCCCACAGCCTCAGTGGGGTCCGGTCCTGCAATATGGGGCAGTGCAGGGGGGGGGTAGTGGTCACATCGGGGTTGGGGATGGGGGGGTAGTAGTTGTGTACTGCTATTTCATGCAATTAGACAAGTGGATTATAAATGGGGAATATTACACTGTAATGTTCCCTATTATAATCTTTTTCTCCGATTAATAGAACAGAGGCCTGTCTGTGATCATTTAAAGTTTGAGACTACGTTAGAATGTGTGACCAGTGACGTGGTCACACATTTTAACGTAATCTCGCCCAGTTTTTCGGGGGTGGAATAGATGAAGCATTCCAACGCTTTCTCCGCTGTTCCAGGGCAGATCGGCATCGCAAGTCGCATGTGCAGGGGAACCGATCTGCCCTGAAACAGCTGATCGGTCCTGAAATGTCACTTATATCCGACTTTGTGAGTGCGGTGTAATTTGAGATCGCAGTTGGAGAGAAGTGACATTTCAGGACCGATCAGCTGTTACAGGGCAGATCGATTCTCCTGCACATGCGATGCCGATCTGCCCTGGCACAGCGGAGAAAGCGTTGGAATGCTACACCTATTGGTGGTCACACATTCCACCGCCGAAAAACTGGGCGGGATTACGTTAAAACGTGTGACCACGTCAACGGTCACACATTCTAACGTAGTCACAACCTTTGATAGAACACCGCCATCAGGGGGGTATGGCCGGTACCCATGTGAGGGGTCTGGGGGGCCTCTTACATGGGTATCAACTGTACCGGGGTGGCATCCCGACGACCAGACCAGCCCACCTGGGACCCTGCAGAGCCCACCATAGAGAGTCTCAGGTGGGCTATGCAGGATCTATGGTGTGCTCTGCAGGGTCTCAGGTAAGTCCAGTACGCTACTGTAACATTAGAGACCGCGGGGGCCAGTGTGATCCGCTCCCACGCAAGATAAAATCTTGCACCAGAGCCCTTTGGATATTAGGTCCGCCACTGGTCAGATGATAAACTCCCACAGCCCCCAATACCAATAATATGCTCACGACACCCAAATCTATCTCTCTACTACCAAGCTCCCCCCTTGCCTCAGAAATCACTAATTTACTTACTCGCATATCAGCATGGATGTCACACCACTTCCTCAAACTTAATCTGTCCAAAATGGAGCTCATAATATTTCCCCCCTCCCCCAATTTCTCAATCCCCTCCCCTTAGGACAGGATGCTGGGTGTAATCTTGGGTTCTGACCTGTCGTTTTGATCCCCCATCCATTCTCCAAATCTTGCCACCTTCACCTCTATAACACTTAAAAAATCTGCCCCTTCTTAACATGACACCACAAAGCTTCTAAGTCACTGGCTTGCTATCTCTCGCTTCAACTTCTGTAAAGCTGGCCATACACTATCAGAATTACACCTGATTCTTCATGAACTGGCCAAAATTTACACAGTGGGTGCCGCTGTTGGCACCCTTCCGGCCAGTATCCCTCGGTCAGAAATCTTTAAATGAAGGGTGCTTGCAGCCAATTAGCTAAAAGCACCATTCGTGTATTCTGACAGTGGACAGCAGTTTCAGAACCTCTCCAATTCTCTGGAACTCCCTTCACCAATCTGTCTGCCTATCTGCTAATCTGTCCAACTTTAGGTGCTCCTTGAAATCCCTTTAGGGAAGCCTATCACTCCTCCACCTCAACACTGTACTTTTAGTTTCTCCATCAGTTCACCCCTCACAATTAATGCCCATCACTTTCCCCTCCCTGTAGAATGTATGCTCTCACGAGCAAGCCCTCCTAACCTCACTGTATTAAATTGTATTGTTTCCTTTTATTTTGGCAAGAACTGCGCAAACTGTTGGTGCTATATAAATCCTGCATAATAATCATCATAATTAGGGATGCACCAATACCGTTTTTTCGGTATCGAGTACCGATATTTATATTTCGGTACTCGCTAATACCGAGTACCGATACCGGTACTTCCGATACCATAGAGCCGGCTTCCCGCGTCATTACCGACCGCCTGTCTTCTTGATTGCCCGGGAAGCCCACTCAATTCTGTTTGTCCCGCTGGATGCTGATCTGGCAATATGGTGACACGACCCCCACCCTGCAGGCACCTCATTCCCCTCACATAGATCGTTAGCAACATTTACTACCTTAGTAGTCCCTGGGCCAGCTGGGCAGACACCACTCTCCAAGCTCTCCGGGATCTGCCCACGTTTCCTGTGTGTACAGCGCCCTCGTGATCGGCCCTCAGCCTGCTACTGCGCAGCGTTCTCATTCATTAAAACAAGCTGTGCATGCGCAGTAGCAGGCTGAGGGCCGATCACGTGGGCGCTGTGCACACAGAAGTCGGCAGATCCCGGAGAGCGGTGTCTTCCCAGCTGGCCGAGGGACTGCTACGGTAATGAATGCTGCTAAGGATCTATGTGAGGGGAATGATTTGTCTGCAGGGTGGAGGTCGTGTCACCATATTTGTTTGCCTGGCTCTACACCGATTGGCTGGGAAGCCGGCTTCCCGGCCAATCAGCATCGAGCCAGCTTCCCGGCTTCATGTTTCCTCGCGGCACTGCCGGTCAGAGGAAATCTCCCTCTGACAGGAAGTTCCAGTATCAGGAAAGGTATCAAGAGCATTTGGGCCAATACGACTACTTGCCCAAATACTTGGTATCGGCACCGATACTAGTATCGGTACATCCCTAATCATAATGCAACAATATTTGAGAATACAGTACTACAAACTACAATTGTAAACTAACTTGCAAGGCAACTCCAAAAATTATCCTCAGATACGACAAATATGATGCTGATGATCAAACCCATTCTAGCAAGTGTGTCCCCAATAGTATGATTTCCAGAAGAAAAAGACTATGTTAAACAGGAATTCCAACTTATATCAAGTAGATTTAAAACAAAAAAAAAGTACATACTGTATGCATTTCTATACTGTTTGAACTGAGGCAGAAAAAACGTTACTTAATCTGAGTTGCCCATCTAATCACATGCAGAAAGAATGCAAACACTAAAGTGGGCCTCCATCTCTATACATTAAAGAGGTCCATTGTGCAGATCTTTTATCAAGAAGTTTAAGAGTGGATAAAAGTCCTCAAATAAGGGTAACGTAATAATCTTTTATGTGGCACCCACAAATCTTAAGGCGACACCTGGCTACTCAACATCAAGCGGATTTTCAGTATAAACTAAAATTGGGCACACTTGTCTACATGTGGGAACACAAAGAGAAACATAGTGCAAAGCACTAAATGTAAACTGCAGTAACCCACAAAGAAAATTAGTTCACTTTACTTAATACAGATCCATAGATCACCTGGCATAGATACGGCATTTTTTTTAGAATTACACTAGCCCATGTGAATTTGACCTTCCTGAAGATGATGGGTTTTACGGGGGACTGGGATGTTTAATAGCAGAATTCAACACCATCAAGTTTCCCAGAATGGCTCGGTCTTTACCTCTTTATCCATGCCTACGATTTGCCTCTTGGAAAGCTTTTCCAGCTCGATGGACGCGTTGTTGGAATGAGTCTCCACCTCCTTCTGCAGCTTAAGGCGGTGCTCGTCCATCTCAGCCTTCAGCTTATTCTCCAGGGCGATCAGCTGCTTCTGGTGCTGGCGCCGCATCCGCTTATATCCTGACATCTGTTCCCGCAACTCGTTCTCCTGCTCATGCTCATGGATCTGCCTTGTAACCTGTGGACACAGCCAAGTTTCACATTTAGACTACACCAATCCAAAACACATAAACCATTTTTTTCCCCTCAAACTATGTGAATTAAGAAGTGTGCAGCTCATAGAAGCCACATTTTACTTTTTAAATTTTTTATGCAAGAAAAAAAAGGTCCAACTGGTTGCTATGGACAAACATTAATTGCTTCAGACCCTTAAATAAAAATGTAAGAAATTTAATTGTTTGTGAATAAGCAGTATTTCAGTAGCATACAGATTTCTAAGAATAATAATTTCATATTAAAACCTCTTTGCGTTTAAAGAAATACATTTTTCTTAGACAAAATAAAGGATGAAAACCTGACAAATGAAGACAAAACATGGAAGCATTCACTGCACACAATCTTTCCATTTGACAAAGGTACGTTTGGAGCACTGTCTTCATGCAGAGGAATCAATCGTTTAGCTGTAATGGCTTTATAAGATGGACATCACTTCTCAGACTGTTACAAGATTTGCTTATGCCAAATCCAAAAACTTGGTGAAAACAAGGCTGACTGCTTGATTTACTTAAATGGGGTGTCTTTTGCTGTACTCTCTGTAGAATACATAAAACTGCAGCATGAGCTGGCTTTAACCAGCAGAATGTTCATACGATTCTCTTACAGTTAAGGGGGTGAAATTGCCGATTAAGACCGTAGTGATGAAAAAAATAAAAATAAAAAAAATAAAAAGGAGCAGAATTAAAAAATGTTCTCGGCTAAAGGAAATTCTAACAGTGAATGTGGTTTTCATTCAAGAAATTCCAAAGTTGAATGTTAAAGTCAAACAAAATTTTGAACAATATACTACTACAATTCTACTAAGTCTCTGATGGCATTATCGATTGTTGGGGAGGTAGAAAATTAGGGGTTGCCATTGCTGACCCCTGCTTCTGATAGCAGATTTACTACATTTTCGGATCTGCATTCTTATTAGTCAGCGACTAATTAAGATGGTTGGTGAGCATATCAGGTAACTAGCATTTTCAGCAGGAGGTCAGCATTGGAAGCCTCCATATCTCTTCTTTGACAAGTTTGCTTCAAATTGCTCTGACACTTTGTATATATTAGATTGTTTAAAAATGTATTTGCTGTGCACTGCTCTGTGAGGATAATGGATATCTGAAAGACAACAATGATCCCTATATGTGGATATCACACCATTCATCTTCATGAAAGCAAAGAAAAGTTATGTACATCTAAAAGGAAGGAGGCAGTTGAGTGAATCTGTTGCATCGCTCTTCATGACCAAAGCACAGGTTCACTTTAAAAATCTATCTGCCACTTGATCCACATTTACAACTAGTAAAAGCAAAGCAACGTTGCTATGCTGTGAAGCTTTTACCAAGTTTTATCAAATCTGAACTCCATTACCTGCTTCCTAATTAAAGAGGATGTTTGGTCAAAACGGTATATTTTTCTTTTTTTAATATAATGAAAAAGAATTGGAACCCCTGCCAATTTTTACCACCATCAGGGGCTTTTTTAGAGAGCTTTTCTTCCCTTACTGTCACAGGGACACCAGTTTTACCAGACAGGAAGTAAGGGAAAATCTCTTCCTCTTCCATCCAAAACAAAAATCAGACCAAAAAAAAATTGTCTAGACATACTGTTTTTCTCCACATTACCACAGTCCAAACTAAGGCTGCAGTACACGTTAACACTGGGGCATTTGCTGAGCATTCTTCTAGCATTTACCGGGCATATGATTAAGCCTTCAAAATTACCCCTTCTCTTCCACTCAGTTTAAAAGAAGTATCCTGTATTAAAGAAGGGAAAATGTGTACTGGAGTCTGCTAATGCCACTGTGTTAAATAATACCTAAACACAAGAAAATTGGGGGAAATAAAAATGTAATATATTGCAGCTTACCAGTCATTAGATGTGCATTTGTTTTCTTTTCCAGCCCTAAAGAAGAATTCTCACTAAAGTTTTTTTTTATCCTGCTTCTGCCCCCCAAGTAGCAAAGTGCATGATGCACTGTGTCCAGTCTTCCTAGGTAGCCCTGTTCCTGAGATAGTGTGGTATGGCTGTGCAACCCCCTCCCCGCTGTCTGACCACACATAAACCGAGGAGACGCACAGTCTTGACTGATGGCACTTGTCTCAGGCACCAGGAGCTTGCCCAACACAAGCGCCATCATGCTGTATGCAGGGAGAGGGTAGCACGTCAGCTAAAGTGCAGTGAGACTGAAAAAAGTCCACACAGGTGCACTCACAGCAGAGCTCAACACCATCACTGCTGATACAGGGAGAGGCAGGGATGTCAGACCTAGGCTCTTGTGACTAAAATAACACAGAGTGCAGCATAAGGAATAGGAGGCTCATTCGGTCTTACAAAGTAAATTATTTTTCTTGAATGAATGTGAAAGTAAATAGAAAATGATTTACTATGAAAATCAGAATGAGGCTCCTGTTCTGACTGAAAAAACACAGACCGCAGTAAAGAAAGCAGGGGCCTTGTTTCATAGTAAATGATTCTTTATTTACTTTCCCATTCATTTAAGAAGAATGAGGCTCCGGTGGTGTAGTCCCTTTTATTTTTCAAAAAAGCAGTGCTGACTTCCTTACGTCTGCCCTTACCCATTCAGTTTGATAGGCAGTTTATGTAAAACAGACAGAGAAGGAGTCTGGCAGAGAACTCTGAACTGCCCACATGTGAGGCAGGTTGCTTTGAGATCTGTCCTCCTGGGTCCAGGAGATCACCAAAGTTTGCAGCCAGCAGGAGTAATGGCACTGGGATTAATATGTCTTCAGATTACAGTTCTTTTCAGTTTGTGAACTGGTAAAAGCACAAATGACATCTTTTAGTTTGAGTGGGACAGTGTGATTGGCAAAGTATAGAAAATAAAAGTATAGTACAAATGGGGGATTTAGATTAAGTTCTCATGTGCATGGACTTTTCTTTGCGTCTAAGCTGATTTTCTTTCCCGTAGTATTTAACATGAATAATTGAAGGAGCTTGCTGCAACTCAGAAGCATCTCAATGCAATTCCTTGAGCAAATGGAAGGCAAAAAAAGCAACTCCAACATTGCAGCATCTCAGAAATTCCTGAAACACACTGTATTCGACTCAAGTCTGCAGCCCATGTAGAGATGCCCCTCTATTGCCCATAAACATACATGCCTCAACTTTTCTAATGTACATCTTTTTCAAAAGATCTTTTTGCTTTCATAATTACATATTAGACAAAACACTATAGTAATTAAAGGGGCCAGTGCTTTAAAAGGAGAACTATGGGGTTAAGTCTTTTCCCCATAGTTCTCCTTAGGGTAACGGGAGGACACAAACTAGCGTCCTCCCGTCACCCTAGGCTCAGTATACTGTGAGCTGTAGCTCGCAGTATACTGAGACGCCACAGTATACCGCGAGCGAGCTGCTGCTCGCGGTATACTGAGACGCCGCAGCTGAAGCGGATTCCGACAATTGTGGGGGGATTCGCCCAACTGAGTGACAGCTGGCTCTGCCTATCTAAAGGCAGAGCCAGCTGTACCCGCCCCCTCCCCCGTCCGTTCCGCCAGTCAGCGCTGGCGGATCGGAGCAGGGAGGGGGGAATCCAGACCCTCCCCTGTCACGGCAGAGAGCCGTGACAAGATCGAGAGGTGAGCGAATGCCGGTATGTGTTCGCTCACCTCCCGATCTACTGAGCCGACCTGTGACAGTCTCATTGTCACAGGTCGGCTAGAACTATGAGGTGAGTGAAAAAAGTTCCAAAATGAATGTAGATGTGAATGCTTCTAATGGTTTTTACATGTAGTATGTTAACTTAATACAAGGGCTAATAACACCATATCTGCATCAGCAGTTTTTAGAGGCACTTCCTGTGGAGCCCTGAGGTGCAGGAAACTACACTTCTCCTGAGAACTAGCGGAGAGATGGGCAGAGTGATAATGTAGCTACCAATTGACATGTTGTCTTGTAGTCTAGTCCAGCAGTAGACTTTACATACAGCATGGACACTACTGCTTCATCATATTAATGCTGCAGCATCAATGTTGTCAACCCATAGAACAAATTTATATACAGCCTTTGTTTCTGGCAGGATCTCTGTAAATAGCAATCTGACAAATAAAATATGCATTTGTGGGCTAGCTCTAGTATACATAGAGTTCGACTTCGCATACCTGTTTATATAAATGGGGGGGGGGTTGAAAGGAGTAGATCCCAGACTGATCCAATCTTACCTCAAAGAGGTAACCAGGCCTGATTTTTAAACTTATCTAACAGCAGTTGGTGATGAACTGTCTTTTGCTGCCACATACATGCAGTTGTCACCCAACCCACTCAAAACAGGCTAACACATTGGTCAGTTTTTAGGGATTCACAGGGAAACCGCTAAAACTTCTGGTTATAAATTTATAAAACTTGCCATTTAAACAGGGCTATGTGAAACTGAATCCTCAGTCTCTTTCATGAAGATCATCCTGACAGTCCTAGCATGCATACTCCACAATCGGCCCCCTTTTATCCCAATGATGTCTCTACTTGCTGCTCTGATTAGTGCTAGTCTTGGAGGAGGAAGAGTCCAGGTGTCACCTTGGACAGTAACCAATCAGTTATCTCAATACTGTCAGCTGGGCAGCCAGCTAATCAAGACAACTGAATGTAAAAATCATACTAAAGGTGCCCATACACCTTACGATTATCGGACGAAACTTTTCTCCTGCCCCATCCTGCCCCGATTATCGCAAGGTTCAATCAGCGGTAGTTAGAAAAAAACACCTGGATGACTTGCGGTAATTGACCGCAATTATTTTCGTTTGCGCATGCGCAGTGTTAATCGTACGACTTTTGACGGACGGAAACGCCACCAACCATGCGAACATCGTACGATCAACCAAAGTTTTCAAACATGCTTGACCGTCAAAAGTCGTACGATTGTACAGTACTATCAGTCGGGCACTCTATTCACACGTTACGATTGTCGTACGAAAAGTCGATCGCATACGATTATCGTACGATAATCGTAAGGTGTATGGGCAC